TTTGCATGGGACTGAGAATAAATAAGATTAAAGTAGAGTTACAGCAATCCAGGTGAATTATCAGGAGGTGAAACTGGTAACATCACCTCATGTCCTGCTACTGTAGTGTGTTTATACTGAGTATAGGGTTGTTAATCATTGTGTAACTCGGCAGGTGTAGCAATGTATCACCACAGTATCGAAATACAGCAGACTGCAACATGACCGAGGACAACATGTACTGTGATACAGCACAATATCAGTTTAACTACAGAGGAAAACAACCCCTAACTTGGAGGGAAAATTTTAACGCACACACACCACATATCATTTATTTACCTCAACTATAGAGACTATATAAAAGCTTAGATTAATGTCAGTTCTCTAGTTATGCAGTTTGCTGAATTGGCTTTCAAAATGTTATGGCAATGTATTCATTAAAAATTTCAACACACCATCACAGAGAGAAACAATAATTAGGTCCCAGCAGATGTCTTACAAGGCAATCATTGATGGCTTTTCTGCAGAGAATAGACATTAAAAATACAACAAATGGTTAAGTAGCTCATTAAAAGTGAGGTTTGTATTTTTTACAGTTAAAAATAGAAACTAAATTCAGAATATTTAGACTTAACCAGAATACTTAGCCCATATATTGTTTTCTATGTCCAGATTATTACCACAAAGATCTCAAAAGCTTTAGCCTTAAGGTTAGAGGTTCCTCTTTTTAGTGTAGGCAGGTTTGTTGATTTATCTTTATTCTCAATCATGGTCAGTATACCTTTGAGAAGTACTACATTGCATGCCATTATTTACAGTGAGACAAAATGTATGTTGAGTAATTCAGAAACAAAATGCAGTGCTCATGTTTACTGATTTGTTATCGTTAAGTTTTAACCCATAGAGGAGTAAAAGACAGATGCTGCCTGGGGCTTAGGAAAGGGTAGTGCCACCCCTGGGGGGCTGGTATCCTGCCACAAGCTCAACCTGAGCCCTTATGCTGGAGTTGGGATCTGGCGGGAGGCCTGGTGGCTGTGATGAGCCAGATGTGGCACTGGGAGCTGTGGGGATTCTCTGCCGCGGTTTAAAAATGTTATCCCCGTAGTATGCTTTTGTATTTTTTTATTAAACAAAATGAACCAAAATCAGCAGTGGATGGGGTCGTATCTAAAACTATCATGGGTAACGTAAATCATAAGGATCTCTCCAACGTTAGAGTATATATCCGAAGGTAACAGCAGAAGTTTGGGGCAAAAAAACTGTCTGTAAGGTCATTGGGATAATTAGCTCTGCATCCGACAGGGCATGAAATAATAAGCGAAACATAAGTGAGGTAGAGTTAGAAATGAATCGGAGCAGGGGGCAAAAGTGCCCTTGAAAGATCCCAAACTGCCTCTGAAATTAAAGATGAAAGGGCAAAAAATGCCCTTGATGACTATTCTCATTATTTCACTGAATTGTTAAATACTCAGCCATTAAAAATGATTCCTAGGGGTATCACTATTGGTGAGTGGTAGGAACCTATGACTGGGGGATTTTTTTTTTTTCTTCCTCTCTGGGTGGGAAAGATTGCTCCGTAGAAGCTGTTAATGTCGTCACGGTCGTTTCTGCAGCATTTATTGATTCTCAAACCAAAACAGTAAAGTTGTGGCTGTAAAACCAAAACATTGAGCTGAAAGGTGCTAAAGTACATCAAGGAGGGGAAATGCAGAGTTGGATGATAAGTCTCCATGGGTTCACCACAAGTCACATTCTTCACATTATATTTGACCCATTGGCTTCTTCTATCGCACGAAGTGCCTCAAAGACTTTCTCAGAATAGGATGCAGGTTCTACACGTCTGTGTAAACGCGTTGATTTTCACTTAGAACGACTTCAAATATTTAGTTTGAGTAAGTAGTTTACGTATTCTCAAGAATATGAGACGAATCACTGAGTATCCTCCAGATGTGTAAACAGCGCACCAGCCTCCATTTGGTCAGCGCTTGTTTAAACTGCGGTGTTTGAGCACACAGTGTATTTGCTGCTCTGTATGACCTTCATGCTGTTGGCTGCAATTTCCCTAAGCACTGCACATTGCAATAATTATGTGTGAGCAAACAAATGGACGAATTATTGAACAAACACAATGGAAAATCACATATACACATAGAAATGGCAACATCTAGCAGCATGAACAGCAAAGGCTAGGGTCAGAGCTTGTGTGATATGCAATCCCAAAATCTCAAAGAGGTGGTATTAATGCATCAATATATATTTTATTTATTTGCCATAATTATTTTTCCGACTAATTAGCACAGCCAGATGGTGTCATCTACTGCTCCTTTTAATGAGTGTGAGTTGCTTAAATAATATGCATCAGTTCCTCTGTGGATACTAATACTGTAGCCATTCAGCTGTTTTACTTAGACTATAAAACCCAGCAGCCACTTCCCAGCAGTCCTGCCTGTGAGAGGTTCCTGGTCCAGCTCATTACAAAAGGAAACCCGAGTATTTACTGAGAAAATTGAGACAAACTATCAGGTAATTGTCTCATCTTCTTCAGGCCATCGCTCATTAAGGTCTAATAATAGAGAGTATTGACAAAAAACAATCTGACTGAGCTTAGTTCTGACTGTCCAGCCGGCGCTTTACTTCACAGATGGAGGGAAGAAATGGTGACAAAGTGGAGAGGGGAGGGGAGGGGGGCAGACCGCACACGACGGCTGAGGGAGTGACGGGCATACAGGCTGGAGGATGACTTATTGTAGAAATTGACTGAATAACTAACGGAGTCCATCCCAAGGCTGATGTAATGATGGTTCACTGCTTGAAGCCCATTATGATGGCTGGAGACTGCATTTGTCCCTCCATTAAAGCGCTAATCCTGCATCCCACACCTAACATCTTACGACAGCTTGGAGTTTTTCCACCGAGTGCCTTTTCTCTCTACTCACGTCTCCTGTGGATGCGTCTGATTTGCTGTTGTTTTATTATTCAGCGTGTCTGTTTAATGCTGTCACACCTAAGTAATATTCAATTTCTATACTACGCGATCTGTATGTTTTAAAGCATATTGAGGTTAGAGACGCAACAACATCCAGAGAGACAGAGAGTGCTAAGGGAGGATGACATATCGTGAGTGAGAGGGTGAGAAAAACTATGCAAGTGGAGAGAGAGAGAGAGAGAGAGGGGCAGAACCGAAGAGGGAGACAGTCAGAGTTTGATAAGCAGAGAGACGGATAGAGACAAAAAGGAATGACTGAGCACGAGAGAGAGGAACTGAGAGAGCAGGGCTGTTGTATCCAAGCATTATGACACATCCCTATATACTGCACTGACTCCCTGCATGCTCACTGCAGAGTTTCATTAACCTTGCGGCACGTCTATTTGTGTTTCTAACCTGGTCCATACCGTCTCATCCTCCCACTGCATACAGCTCTGCAACCTATACAGCAATATATATACTGGCCTGTCTGAATTCTATAATCAACATTCCCACATAGTGTGCATGCCAGGATAATAACATATGGTTTTGTGTGTGTGTGTGTGTGTGTGTGTGTGTGTGTGTGTGTGTGTGTGTGTGTGTGTGTGTGTGTGTGTGTGTGTGTGTGGATCCTTAATCCAAAACCGCATTTGGCAAAGCTTGAATAATGCTTTGCTGAAGCATGAATAATGTTTTTGTTTTTCAAATGCCACATTGTGCAGTAAAGATAATATAAAACAGTTTTAAAACATATACTGACAGAAACACATCCGCTACCATAAACACTATTAAAGTCTGATGCCCCATTGGTACTTGAAAACAAAGATGATTGTTCCCTGCTCCGTAAATGTTCACTGATCCATAGCAAGGCAGCAGGGAATTAGACACGCTGCAGAATTGTACTGTTTACACTAAGTCATGACTGGATTCTGCTCATACATATAAATGTGTGTTTAGCAAAGCTCCTGTTTACAGGTTCATGACCTTTAAGTTGTCAAATGCATCATTTATACAGTGAATTTTTTTTTTTGCACCGCCATTGTTACTCATGTATCATCGAATCATACAATATGTGCACTCAGGTTGAGCCCCGACAACAACACAATTTGCCTCGACCGGTGCAACAAACAGCACGGATAACAGCAGCAGTAACAACAAGGGAGGGAGACGGACAGGGAGCGTTAGGGCAAGGACGTTCAGGATGAGGACGATGCTGGCTCATTATTATACATAACTGTGTTTTGGTCACCTATTTTACATTTTAACTAAACTACAGTTCAGATCTAATGTAATGTCAGTGCTTTGGGCCATGACGTCTAAAACGTATCCACCTGCTGAAATGGTTCAGGTGTGATATGGAGGAGCACAATCTGTAGATCAGTCAAGTGTAATGGAATCGTTACCAGGAGAAGGAGAACACTCGAGCTTGGTTAAATAGTCTGAGTCAGGGAGTGCAATGACTCGATGGAGGGTAATAATGTATCACTCTCGGTTATGTCCAGTGGGGTTTAACCTTGTGGATGTTCACACAAAATGCACTGCAGTCATCTAGAACAACCACACCAGCATAACATTAAGATAGCAGTTCATTTAGCCTCGAATATAGACTCATTTCTAGATAAAAATGTTAACTACATTATATTATGCCCTCTATCCATATATACCCACTACATGGAGTGAAGGCAGTTTTTTCTGAAAAACTGGAGGCAATTCCTTTTGATTTCTGATTTTGAATTAATTTCACCCATCAATGAGCTGAAACTGACATTACCCCTTGTCATCCACAGATAAGCCTTCTGACCAGTGCTGATTGACAGAACCTATTAGTTTTATACGTGCACAATTATAACTGTGCATTAACCTTTCAAGGTTGTTACCATGCTGCTTGGAAAAGCAGCCAGCCACAGTCAGACCCACCACGCAGCACAAATACATCAACAACATACACACCATAACTCTCTCTGAGTCACTGTCTTGCTCTCTGCTTTTACGTCAATATCCGTTTCTTTTTTTTTTTTCTGTTCGCTGATGTACACAGACACAAACGTATACGCACCTCCTCCCACTGATGTATGTATCTGATGAGTCGGGACAGTCTTAACAGACGCAGGAGACTGAGGATCTTGGTGAAGCGGACGATTCGCAGGGCGCGGGCTGTTTTATATACCTCTGAGTCAAAGCCTTTCTCCACTATTAAAAAGATATAATCCACTGGAATGGAGGAGAGGAAGTCCACAACGAACCAGCTCTTCAGGTAATTCATCTTGATGACCTTGGGATCGAGGATGATCTCGGAGCTCTCCTCGTTGACGATCCCCGTCCTGAAGTTCATGACCAGGTCCACCAGGAAGATGGTGTCCGAGGCCACGTTGAAGACCAGCCAGGTGGTGGTAGTCTGCTCTGAGAAGAACGTTATTCCCACAGGAATGATGATTAGATTCCCCATCATCATGATGAGCATTATCAAGTCCCAGTAGAACCTGCGGAGCAACACACACACAAATCAGCGATGCAAGTGCGAAAACCTGTTGTAGACAGTTAATTAGACAGTAAAACGGTTGGTAAAGGGGGGAAGAATTTCAGAAACTATTAGAATCAAGTTAAACAAGTTGGAGCAAAACTGGGTTTGAAAGAAATGATCAAAACGAAATGTAAAAATGGACCTTGCCACAGTTCCAAAGAATGTTTTTCATGAAAATCCTCCATGTTTTGTGTGAGGCTACAGAGGCTATAGAGGCTATAGTGAGGCTAGAAAGCATCAAAAGCAATAAAATAAAAGCAAATAAAGAATATACAAAGACTACAGCAGCAGGTATTTGGTCAGAAACCAAGTGAAAGTTTGACCTAATAATGGTGCTGGTTGAGAAGTCAGGAATCACTGAAGTTATTACAGTCCAGTAGGATGTATCAGTAGGATGTGTCCCTTGGGGAAGATGAATGTCTGTACAAACTTTTACACCGATCCATTCATTATTTGTTCCAATGTAACCAACTGACCGATCCTGACAGTAACTGAGGTACATACTCGTGGTGCTTGTTACTGTTGATACGAAAACTCTTATTAGCCTTTTGACAGTCAGCGCCAAAAGTTCACTATGACTCAAACACATCAAGCACTTACTGTATGTGTGCAGGGCCCTGTTGGCATGAGACCCTCTTATCCCTCCTGACTGTGTTAATGTCCCTGCCCTCTGTTTTGTGTTGAACAGAGCCAGAAGTGATTCATCAGCACCCTGCTCTTTTAACAAAGTGTCCTGGGCCTCCATAAAGGCCGAGCAACCATGAATGAAAATAGATGCTTTCAGGAATCCTATCTCATGCTAAAAACTCTCCACTGACGCCATCCCTGCTGATGCCTGACTGCCTGCATCTGCTCTGCCTTGCTGCCCGTTCTTTGCCGTTGTTGAAGATGGAAATGGACTGGTTGACTGGTTGGCAGGTTGACTGGTTGGCAGGCTGCCTGTCTGGCTGGCATACTGGCCGCCCAGTAATGGATCTGTTTGAATAAATTAAGCAGGGGCCTTGGCTTTATAAATATCCACGGATCATGTGTCCGATAATTGTCTTCACTTCAACTAAACAGCAGTCTTCTAGGTGGTTCATAATATCCACCACAGGTATTTTTACACCAGCAGGCATTGAACTTGGGCCTGTGGAGTGGACGCTCCATAAGGAGAGCCTTGACTTAACACGTTGAGTGGGACATCGGAGGAGAGAACATGATGCATTTTTGGGTTTTTTGGTGCTCTTCATTCCCCTCAAGTCTGCATGATAGCACCAAACTTATTCAACAATTTCAATGAGCATGAGGACCAAGACTGCAGGTTTTCCTTCCATTTGAGTTTTCCTTATCTACAAATACACCATGCACCCGAAATCATAGCTACCATTTAGAATATATGGCACTGTCGTCAAATGCCCCTTCAGCCAACATCCTAACATAATATGCAAACAGTATGTGCGTGTGGCATGAGTTATTCTCTTTGTTATTTATATTTAAATGTTTAATAAGAGGCTGCAGTGAAGACATCTGCTATAAATCATCAATTAAATTTTCAACTGCTTCACAACAAGAGAATTATTAGTATTTGAAGGAAACACGAACAAAGGTAAAGAGGAAACCGTGATTATCAAGATACTTTTAGGGACCCTTTAATTTGTAGAAAACACCAATTACTTAAGATAGCTTAATTAGTCAGTGGTTGAAAAAAGAGAAATGTAGAAAAACACTTAAAAAAAAAAAAAAAAAAAAAAAAAAAAAAACAAGACCTCAAAAAAGTGAAAGTGGATGATCTGAAATAAAGTAATTTATAAAATAGAATGTGAAAAAGTACTGCTTTGATCAAAACTATACATTTTTGTTTTATATTTAAAACTAAGTACAAATGACATTTACAATAACAACAACAGATATCAGCTTCTGTTAGATTGCTATGTTTCAAGTAATGGAAATGGTGGATGTTTTCCACATTAATTATTATTATTGAAAATGAGAACCCACGGAGTGCCCACATCTCTAACATATTTCTACTTCTCTCTTGACCCATGTAGGTGGTATTTATACTGTACATGACCTCTAAGACACCCACTTATCTAATGAATAAAACATAATGGTTCTCCTCTTGAATTAGAAATCATAAGGCAACAGACCTCAAACTATTCTGCACTAGTTAGAAGTTGTGCACAGACTTAAAGAATATATGAAATTCCTAAGAACATGAAGAGCAGTTCAGATGCTTGAATGCCCAGTGACAATTCTCATTGTTAGGCAAATCTAAGGCAACTGCAAGTCAAAAGTGTGCCACTGCAGCTCTAACACTGTATCCAGCTCTTGCTACATCATTGTATCAGACTCTTGCTCCAGTGCTCCAGTTCTCAGAATGCACCCAGTCCCAGTTAAACCAGTAAGCGAGAGCGGTGCACCCAACTGTAAGTGCAGCTCCCAACACCAACTCCACATTCAATCCCCAGTTTGATCCCTGCTTCAGAATCCTGCAGCATACCTACAGTACTCTACATTCACCTGGTGCTCTGGTTCTCGCAGCTCATTTGTGCACTCAGGTCCTGTCCCAGCTATTCTTTCACTTGAAGATGACCACTGCATTCTGCTAGCCATTTTTTATCCCGAGCCTTGCTTCAATTTGTAAATACAAGCTGCTGTTCTGATTGTGTAAAGTGGAAGATGCGATCGCTGTTCCCAAGCACTGTAGGCTCTGCAGTATCATTGCAGGGACAGCACTGGTTTCTCTGATATATACGCCCTGTAGGAACTGACAAAAAATGAGCGTATGTTACCCCAATATATCATAGGAAAAAATTTTCAGACAACAAAACCAACCAAAAAGCCACACAATTCAGCTCTTTACCAAAGCTGACAGAATCAGCTTGAGTTGAGGCAGATGAATCATTATTGGAACAATCCTGCTCCAAATCAAGCCAGCTCATATTCTTCTTGTAGGTTTCCTCCCTTGAACAAGTGCTCCATCATAATCAATGCCAGACCACTCCTGCCAAGCAACAGAGGGAACCCCACATGATCTTACTCAGCACCGATCCCATCCAATCTGCAATGTAATGGGTATACTGTGCCACAAGAGGTCACGTGTTGTATGGAATATACATATACAGTGAGAAAAATATGGACTTCAGATAAAGTATAATTTATATAAAGGTGACGAAGTTAATAAAACATAACCTATGGGTACAGATAGTTGACCGAACGATCTATATCCATATCCCACATTATTCCCTGTAGATCTGGAGAGTAATACATTTGCTTGCATTGGCAGAAATGCTCTAAACGAGCTGTTCTCCATCCTTAAATATTAAAATAGAATAAGTTCTTGTAGGGATAGTAAAGTAGCGTTATTGCTAGAGAATGCCAGTTGCCCATAGTTCTCTGCGCAATAAACTCCAGGCACCAATGACAAATTTACCTGTGACCAGATGTGACTTTGTAATGGCTACAGCAAACCCATGTGTCCTGTCTTTAGAGACACCCTCTTTAAAACTGACTCTGAAAGAAAACATCACTGAGAGTCTTTTAGACTACGACAAAGGCCTCTCCTTAGCATAACCAGAGGTGTATGAGGCCTTGCATGAGGCCTCTCAAAAAATCCATGAATAATGAATATTACTAACCTGCCATTAATCTTTAAGCAGCCACTGTGTACAAAGAATATGTTGGATATTGAGTTTCAAACACTCCCACAAAGCAATATAAAGCCCGTGTGAATAGTGGTGTCATTCATGGACTGTACTTGCGTAAGACTTTTCAGTAAAAGACCATACAGTGTATTTTTGTTTTCTCCTTTTGAGCATATAATGTTCTGCCAAACGAATATGGGACAATACATTTTTAATATAACTATGTGTTTTAGTGATACACACTCCTGGAAAAAAAAAAAAAAAAAAACTGAACAAACAAAAACAATTAAGTTGTTAAGTCAAGTCCTACAGTAGAGAAACAGATTAGCTTTTAAGCTCCCGTACAAGGAGACCTGCCAAGCAAAGTGTACCCTTGCACCTCCATCATTTATGCACCAGCATGATAGATAGCTTGAAGCACTGGGATATAACCTCACAGTACCGCTTTGAAGCCAGGATGCTATCTCACCGGCATGGAAGGGTTGTGTCTCTACTCCGGCTAAAGGACGAGAACCTCTTTTGAAAAACCATCCTTTGGAAAATGTCGTTGGAAAGGAGCCTTAGGATGCCTTCACCTACCTGAGTTAGTTATTTTCTAATACAGCAGAAATAATAGTCAATCTCCTTGAGCAGAGATTAAATTGCAAAAACCCCATTGATGGTCCAATCTGCCTTTTATTTTACATAATATGTTCTAAGACACACTGTACTGTAAATATGTGTACTACCTTTCCAGCCCTTTTGCCCTAAATTTCTCTTTGCCCTAAAAAAAAAAAGCATCCAGAAACACAAACACAGCCTATTACACAAGACAACTAACTAGAGGGGCACTCAGAGCTCAGACCTCCACCAAGGCCAAACAACATACACCAGACTACACAGGCAAAAATTCAAATTCATATTAAATGATCCAGATCTGCCCCAAAATTTAATGGGTTCTTCCCCAGACCATGCCCCATCCCTCCACCGAGTTCAGTGCAAATCGGTTCATTACTTTTTGCATAATCCTGCTGACAAATAAACAAACACTATTGAAAACATAACCTCCTTGGCTGAGGCAATTAATTAAAACAATCATTGATAATGTGAAAAAAGATACACATATCACTGAATTGTTCAGGTCCTAGCCTTTGGCCGTCTTTTAGAAGGGTCAATCTCCTTACATAATTGTTTTCAGAGACCGCTAAGCTCATTGACTGTTGTGTTGTGCTACTAATCCTTGCCCACCATCATTGTACATCTGTGTGTGCACATGGGCATGTGCATATGTCTGTGTCTTTGTGTGGGTGAGTTCAGGATATCCTAGTCAGCTTTATTCTTATATGGAAAGTGCAGGGGACACAAACAATGCCTCATAGTTTAGAGCTATTATATGCACATTATGTTGTATCTCACTGTTATACTAAACTCTATCAGTACACTCTACTTTTGTGTGAGTTCGAGCAAAGCAAGGCTACACAGCCATAAAGACTAGTGAAAGAGTAATTGCAACTTTTAGTGCACGGATTCCTTGGGTTTGAATTCCGTTTGCAGACTCCAGCAGCTCTGAATCAGCAGCAGCAGAAGTCTGTAAAAGGAGTGCTGCATACTCAGGCCTGCTCTGAGTTCAGGACCATGGACAGCACTGTGTTAAAGGCAGAGGAAACAACGTGCCCTGGCACGTTACATGCTACAGCGGAAAACGGGGATGATTGTCACCATCAAGCTGTGCCAGGGGACACTGGTGCAGAGCCTGGGCCAGATGAGATGCTTAATTGGTGAAGTGGTGAACTGTAAACACGCAGCTTGTGGAGAACCAGTCCTGCCTGAACCTGATCTCATTTGTTTACCATTTGAACGCAGTGTGTTGGAGATGTTAGAGGCAGCTCATACTGACGGGGCTCATCTGTGACTCTGTAATGTGTGATGATATGGGGAGTCGCTGCGTCGTCAGTTTGAATATGTAGTTTTCACTTTAACAGCCTGTCTCTATAGGACAGCGGACTGTAGGCTGTTCAGTTAAAAGAATGACAAGCCAATGAAAAAACAGCAATACCAATAATCATGTGTGTGGCATTTAGGGGATGCCAGGGAAGGGAAGTGTGGCATGATCCTCCTGCAGCTCCTTTCAGACAAACACATTCCATCACATTTCCTCAGCAGGGCAGCAGCAAAAACACATCACTCATACATCAACGCTGTCAGATGTTTGCAACTCCAGGATCAGATTCTAGGATCAGTTTTAACTAATTAATTCAAAACAACGGCCATTTTCCCTCTAATCGTTCCCCGGCACGATATTTTTACCGCATTCTGTGCGCTTTTTTTTTTTTTTTTTCTTTTGCACAGGCCCGCCGTCTCACCTCCGCCTACCATGAAATGTTTACAACCTGTGATGGTGCAATGGCATTGTCACGTTGTGTCCAGGTACTGTCGCCCCTACACCAGCGGAATATTGTCGCAATGGGGACCTAACGCTGTGTTGTTGCTGTGGAACAAATCGGAAAGGCTGCGTTTGTGCGCGTTTTCAAATCATGACATTCACCACCCTTTTCCAAGGACATTTCACTGATACACCTTTTGTAGCCTTATAATGCGCCCCTCTCTATTATAATAAAATGCCGCAATGAAACGCACATACACACACACACACACTCATACACAGACAGACACACACGCTCACTGAGCACATTTTGACAGCGAAGCCCTCAGCCAGCGGAAGCCTGATTGCCTAAATACAGAGGTAGATTAGCGTATGCGCTTTGGGGCAGGCTGTGCGTGTGCCGATGACAGCGTTATGTGTGAAAGTGTATATAGCTTGCAGACCCTAGGGTGACGGGAGGGGTGGATAAAAAAAAGAGGGAGGAGGGAGGGTGAGCAGGTGTCTTTTTCCAGCCCTTACCTAAAATCGCTATATGGATGAATAATCCAGTATCCGGCCGTTTGAACCCTCTCTTGCTCTTTCTCCACGGCTTTCTGACTGCCGAACATACGCAAGGAGAACTTATTGACTCCGGGCTGCATCATGGCCCCAAATTGCCTCTGCATAAAACCATGTTGCCTGGACGCCCCCTCTAGATCGTCAAAACCGACCATGGCCTCTTCCCGCTCCCCCTTGAAGCCCACTGAGTTGCCATGGTCCTTCATATTCTGGCTCCCCGTGTTATTTTTCTGTATCGAGTCTTGCCTCTGAAAAACATTATTCCCATCCGCCTTCTCCTCCTTGTTGCTGGAGAACGAATTAGATTTGTCTTCCATGGTGTTTTTAGTTTTCCCGTTTTTCTTTATGACAAAGCGTTCCGGCTCCTGCTCGGGAGGGCTGCGCGCAAAACTCGAGAGGACCCGCCGTGAGCTCTCCTGTTTCTTTTGATGTCCTTCAAACTGTTCAGCTCCTCTGCCTTCAATGCGAGTGCTGCAAACTGAGACAGAGTGCCCGAGAGCCCGGTGGATCAGGTTTCTTGGGTTACCGCCATCTACCGACGGCCCCGGCTTCTACCGTCCAAAGCCTCTGCCTAGTCTCACTTCGCACGGCACTGCGGTTTAACTGGCACATGCTCCTGCACCTTATTTACATAATGTGGCTCATGATAGCCCCCCTCCGTCTCCTCTCTCCCCATCAGCTCCACACATGACAGGAGGGAGCCAAAATCGTAGGAGCAGAGCGAATGTAATGCCATGAAGTTAATGAAGACATGTTTATTTTATTTTTTGAAATCATTTGAAACAGCGTGTGCGCTTCCTGTGGGTCGGCTGGCAGCAGGTTTGCTTCCTACCAAGCAGTGGTAATAGAAGACAACAGATTGTGATGTCGGTGTGATCTGGTCATAGGAGAGAACTAGGTGAACATCTTGTGGATATCACGCCTTTTAAGGTGTTGCAGATATTGATCCAACATTTAGAGTGTGACTGCACTGGCTCCACTGTTCTGTCTATAGTTACAAGCTGGAAGCACTTGTTTGCATTGTCTCTTATTCAAACAGCCTCCTCTTTTGCATGCATTGCAAGTACATAATATGCTTCAAAATAAAATCTGCTTGGTGTATTTTAAACCAGTTAGTTTGGTTATATCTGCAGAATGCATTATGATATATTCTGTAAACTGGGATGACCAGCTCCAAAGATGATTGGCCAGACGTTTATAATTCAATTCTGGGGTTCATAGTTATTTTGAGAAGCCAACCATGTTTTATTTGGGGCACCAGTCCAAATAAATAAAATGATAAGCTACTGAAAAAAAGACAGAATGGGGGGGGGCACAGAACAAGATTAAAGAAATCGAATTTGGCAATTGGTATAAAAAAAAAAATAGCAGAGGAGTGAAATGATGGAGAAGGACAATTATTTTATGGAGAATGGAGACAGCTGGAGGATGGTGAAAAACAAACTGTTGAGTGGTGACTTGGCGATTATAACTTCAACAACTTAACACCAGTATGAGTAATATCATTGAGACTTTTAAGCCTTTCCCAAGAACTTAGGGTAGTGCAGTATTGCTGTAAAACTATACTGCAATGTCCTCATTTTGTCATTCCTGATAGTTCAAGCTTCTCCAACATGAGGACTGGCTGTTTTTCGCTCTCTCAGAATGTGAATCAGAATCAGTAAAACCTTAATGATCCCTGCAGCGACATTGCTTTGTTAAAGTTGCTCAGCAAACAGTTAGGAAAGAGGAAGTAAACAAATAAAAACGACTATAAACTATAGTAATAAATACACACTAAGTGAAAAATGTACAATTGCAAATGTACAAAAAGTAATGTGCACGGTGGAATCTCCAGGCCTCTCTAACATTAGCAGCAGGTCCAGGGTCCAGACCCCTCTGATGGTGCAGTCCACAAACTGAGTGAAAGTGAGGAGAGTCATGTCCAGTTGATCATGACGGGAGCAGTGGTGCACAGAGTCTCACGTAGCATCATTGTAAAGTGAATATCTTTGGGGTTTTATTTACTTTTGTCTTAGTAATTTGATATCATTGGATGTTGGTTGTGATGATGGAAATTTTTCCCTTTTTTCTAACATTTTGTAGACAAACAACAATAACCCTAACCCCAAACAATGAATCGATGAATCAAAATAACATTTGATAATGAAAATAATCATTAGTTGCAGCCCATAATAAATGGCTTAGAACAGTGGATGAAGAGAAACTCACAGTCCTGTTTGTCTACAGGAATAACCCAGCTTATGTTTGCTCCATGATGGCATCACTGCAGTGCCACATGCAACACAAACCCATCTGCTCTGGACATGGAGCACAGACATCACATTAGGCATGTATGCATATATATGCATACATGTATGTATGCATATATATATATATATATATATATACATACATACATAATTATGTAATTGTATCCAGTACTATTTTAAAATATCACTACATTAATTTAAATATAGTTATAAGATTAGTTATTGGATTAAGATTTTATAATCACTTAATAAAATATGATGAACCCAATTAGTTAAAATTAGCTTCACCATGACAACCTGAAATAGCAAACTGCTGCTTACACATTTATCAGGTTTAATGATCTAGTGATAAAGATTATAATAATGCAACAGTCATTCTGCATAATAAGTTATTTTATTTATAACATTTAAAGTCAATTTTTCTGATGATGCTTTTACTTGAGTAAGATTTTAAATGCAGGACTTTGAATTGTACTTGAGTAATTATCTATTGAGGTGTTTTACCTGCCACCACTGCTGTAGTTTGACAGACAGATACTTTTTTTTTTTTTTAGACTTTTTTTTTTTTTTTTAGACTTTTATCTGTTTTATATTTTGTTGTGCCTTTTAGAGCAGGCTTTTATGAGATCTCTGACAAAAAAAATCAGAAATACTTCCTAGAACTACTTCTAATGGTTGAGTAAGAGAGCACCAGTCAGTGAGGCTGCAACACTTTCCACAATGTGGCATTACACTGAACCCATGCACTCAGTCTTTTCATGGCCACACAAAACTGCAGCTGGCTGTGTACATAACTAGAGAGGACATTAGCTTAGATATTTTGCATGTTTGGTAGTGGATTATTATGTAATGATCCAAATGTTACCATAATTGAAACAGACATCCCTTGATTTTTTTTTTGTACGTTTTTCTCTCAGCTGGGTTTGTGTTGGGGGTTGGATTAGTTGGCATGCCAACTGTTTCCCCTACACAACGCTTGTGTAACTTCAGTTACACAGTTAATGGGGCAGGGAGGGGTACTGAGAGAGAGGGAGAGAGAGGGGGAAAAAAAATGTTGCATAAGATTTATGGCTTAAAGTAATACTGATATTGAACAAAGTGCAAATCCCAGATGGCCCATTCACATGTCAGGGAATAAATAACAACAAGAAAAAAATTTACTGGGTAGAGAACGGACATCACAGAAGGAGATGGATTCATGTGGGGTAAACATTTATTTTGGTTTGGCCAATTCTCATCACTGCTCCCAAGGGTTGTCATGCATCTGATTACTCCTCCAATGTAGCAGTAGCAAGTTAAGGAAAGAGTGAGTAGGAAAAATGTCAAAAACAAGACGGCTGAACTATTATAATATTAATTTTCTATACACATTTTTTCATCAAACTTATTGTGAAAATTGCAGAAAATGATGGAGATGCCAGAACTGAGATCTTTGACCTTTTATACATTTTGTAAATTTAGATTAAATAGTTCAATATACTGTATGTTGCATCATGTTTAAGCTGATTCCAGCGGGACTTAATCCTGCCTTATAGTATAATACAGAATATCCAGAAAATGTTGGGCCAAATATCCTGCTTCCTGCACGATAAACTGTGTTCCTGATTCTCCTGATGGTCTCATTGGCCCTGCTGATATTGCATTGTGTCTCTAAGATTACATCCAGTCATCTCTGCTTACAGTCAATACCTCATCTGGACATGAAACATTACAAAGCCCCGCACTGCCAGCCATTGCTTATGCCACAAATAGAATCAGCTTGCTACAGGATGGCAGCATTGTGTTACAATGCCCCCCTTGGCCCCTTTTCATTTTCTGCAAGTCATTCAATGTATAGCCAGTTTATCCATCCGAGAGGCTTTGTTTCTGGTCACAACATATGGAGGCAGCATTTAGAATAAATCTTAAAGTGACAGCAAAATGGGAAAAAAGGCTTTTTGTTATTTTTTATTATTTTTTCTCATCTGTTCTGTTACTGTATCCATTGCATCAGAAGTGTTACCAATACCCATCGCAGAGTAAATTTTGTAAGTAAACATTTCTTCTCTTGTAAATCACCTATTTTAGTGTCAACGAAACATCGGAGAGACCAAGCTCAATAACTGACACAAATTAAAAATACAAATCTTCCACCTCCTGGGCCAGACATGTCTACTAATTCACTTGTCCTCTTTGGACTCTCGTCCCATGACTGACTACTTTAATTAAACCGTGATTGGGGCTGGGAAGATGGTAGTGTTGTAATAGGATTGCGAGCTTTGGTCCGTCTCCAGCTGAGACTATCAGGGTATCATGGACCTCAGGGATGAGGCTGAGGCATTGGACGGGGACCAGCTGAGGCCAAGGTTGACTTAATCAGCAAACTGACTGGTAAAAACAAATGAGAGCATTAGGAAGCTCAGTCGCGAAGATGATTATCATAAAATCATGATGTATATGTTTGTAAACATCACAGTGAGCCCCCAATTAATGGAACATACAGAAACTCGTCGTCCCATTGTTGTTCTTCTTTAGCAGTGAGCTATGCACTTCTAGAGGAATCCCTACGAGTTCATTGTCACGACATAAAAACACAATGAAATATTTTATTAAATTGAAAATTAGAATAGAACAGCATCTCATTTCCTTAACATCATGTACTGTTATGTTGCAACGGGATGGTGAGGTGGGACTTAATGCTTCAATCAAATAAGTAACCCAGTTACATGTTACTGGGGTTAATGTGACAGTTGGCATTACCATATCATAATTAGATCCACACAGCTGAGCTCTTGTTTAACCTCCACAGATTATCAGTTACTTGGCTGCAGATGCACTTAACCTTTAAGCTCATATCCATGAATTCTGCTGCTTATCAATGACACAGAAGAGAGAGATTTTGTGTCTCCTTTTCTAGTACAATCCTGTCAGTGGCTGGAGTTTCATAGGAAAATGGCTGAAGGGTGGCCGGTGCCTCACCCACACACAAAGGCATTCAGTAGGTGTATTCAGGGCTGCAACTAGTAGTTATTCTCATTATTGATTTATCTGGTAATTATTTACTCAATTAATTGATTAATCCTTTG